TGTGGCCCTGGGCTTGGGGACCTGTTATTGAGGATTCTTTGTATGTAACAAGTTGCTTCTCTCTTGTTGCTTTCAAAATTCTCTGGCTTTGGCTTCTGAAATGTTGATGTCTGGGTGGTCTCTTTGAATTCATCTTACTTGGAATTTGTTGAGCTACCTGGATGCTTATATTCATGTCTTTCATCAAATTTAGGAAGTCTTCAGCCATTACTTCTTCAAGTATTCTCTCTCTCCCTCAACCCTGCTTCTGGAACTGCCAACATGCATATATTGGTCTGCTTAATGGTGTCCCACAGTTCCCTCAGACTCTGTTCATTTTTCTTCAATCTTTTTTTCTTTTCTTCAGACTCATTAATTTCTACCGTCCTATCTTCAAGCTCACTGATTCTCTTCCTGCCCTTGGATTCTTCTAGGGAATTTTTCATTTTAGTTATTGTACTTTTCAGCTCCAGAATTTTTTAGGTTATCTCTTTATTGATATTTCCATTTTCCTCATGCATTGGTTTTTAACTTTCTCCACATCTTCCTTAGTTCTCTGCACATCTTTAAGACAGTTATTTGACAGTCTTTGTCAAGTACGATCAGGTCTTTTTCAGGGACAGTTTCTATTCATTTTTCCTTGGAATGAAGCATATTTTTCTTTGCATGTCTTGTGATCTTTTTGTTGAAAAACTGGCATTAAAATTAAATAATGTTGTTAATCTGGAAATCAGATTCTTCTTCCCCAGGGTTTGCTGGGGGGTTTTGTTATTTATTTATTTTTCTTTATCCTTAGCTGTCTCTATGTCAAAGATCAGCTTGAGGTCTCATTTTAAGGTCTTCTCAGTTCTTTTCTGAGCTGTACCTTTCCCTGGACATGTACATTTTCTACTTCCCCCTATATGTGCAGGTGCTTTTGAACATCCTGGTCTTTAGTGTCTGGCTCCCAAAAGGAGAAAATGAGAAAAATGAAGGGTTGGGGGAGAAGGGTCCTGGGCCTTTAAATCACAGCAATGGAAGTAATTTAAGCTGGATGAAGAGGGGTTTGCAAAAATCAGGGGAGCTGCAACAATGGTCTCTGGACTCATCTGCCCCTCTAAAATCAGAAGTAGCAATCAAGGATCTGGCTCCATGTGCAAGCTGCTCCTGGAACACGTGCACAGTTGCCTGCCATGGGCAGGGGGTAGGGTAGCTGCCACTGTGCCAGGAGCTAAAATTAACTCTCATTTACCATCTAAGCCTTGCCCTGGAAGTTACAAGCCATCAGCAGACTCCAGAGCTCCAAAATAGTCACATCAGATTCTGCCAGTGCCATTACTGTCCAGGTAGGGAAGACATATTCCTGGTGGTTTGTACTCTGCTATCTTCCCAGAATCCTTTCCCTTCATGAATAACATAAATGCTAAAAATTGCTTGTCTTTGACTTACGTACCATTCCACCAGAGCATGAAAGCCTCTAGATGGCCTTCACTCCACTGATTTCCATCTGGAGCCTCCTGCAGCATCTGGGCACACCCACCTAGCAGTGATGGTCAGTGGCAATACCTCTGTGCTCCCTTTTCCCCTCAAAGCTTCATTTGATCCCTCGTGCTCCTTTTGACTTTTTTTAAGTGGCATGTGAAATGAATATTCATATCTAGCCTTTTCAGTTCCTTTGAGAATCTGGGGAATAATGTATCCCACACTTAGTAGGCACTAAACACTAATAAACTCTCAATTTCTTGCCCTGTACTGCCCTCAGCAAACTCCACAATGATCCTTCTGAAATATCTCATTGGCTCATGTGAAAAGGTTCTCTCATTAAATCCTGAAAAGCAGAGTAGAATTCAGGAAGACCTGGGTGAGGATTAGGGTGACTGAGGCTTTCAGACCAGCAAGAGGGAAGAGGGAGGATAGTCCAGGCACCTGCTTAGATACTTTAAAGTCATTCCTCTTCAACTCAAATTTTTTACTAATAAGCAAAAATGTAAAAACCATTAATTTTGAAATTTTACATGTAGTTTCCTTTTAATTCTCCATTACTGAAACTGAACATCAAACAAGAGGATGAATGCCATGCAGAGTGTTACAACACTGCTGTTGTATCCAATTTAAATAGAGAATGCCTTCCCTAACCCTTTAGGACCCAAAATTTATGTAACATTATCTCAGATAGGAAGGGAATGCTTCCTCCTCCTGTTCTTTTTTCACATGGCAAATAACATGCACGTGATTTACTGAGGATATTTACTGACAGCAAGACACAGTGGCAGCAGCAGGTCTCCTTGCCTTTTCTTTAGAACAGCCTGGAAGCCTGAAGGCCAGCACTGTGGCAGCAACCAAACACTGGAGGATAGTTATTTCTCTGCCATGGACTCCCCATTGGTTTATGCTGATCATTCCAGTAGAACCACTTTGAAATAAATCAGCTATATTCATAATCTGAAATCAAACACAATAACCACAGTTTGCATAAATGTAACATTTAAAAAACCATCTGCATTAAAACAAATAGAACCAAAATACAAATAACCCACAGAAAACGAAGTATATGGAGGTTATAATTCTTAATAGAGACTCCTACATGTCAGTATGAAAAAACTTGACCATAAAAACTGCCAAATCTGAACAAAATATATCAGATAAGAACTAAAAATGGCCATGAACAAATGAGGACATATTCAACATGACCAGACACACCACTTATTTGCCTATCAAATTGTTAGAGTTATTTTAATCTTGAGCACATGTCCACTGCCAACATTGCTTGACAACTGCAAAGAGGCCTTTTCCATGCTGTCACCCTGCCCTTCTGGAGGGCAGCAGGTACCCAAAGCTTCAAACCTGGCGTGAACTCTGACCCACTCACTCTACCTACAGGAACTGAGCTCAAGGCAGTAACTGCAATCATGGCAGTGTAAACGTGCGTCTGAAAGGAGGCTCACTGTGGTCCTGTTGAAACAACACTGATGTACAGCAATACAGCAAATACTGCATTTACTCATGGCACACTCGTAAAATACAGCCATTGAAACGTACAAGAATATATGTAATAGACTTAAAAGTCTATAATTTATTAAGTACAAAAGCAAATTATTTTAAAAAGCACTTGATCCTAATTTTGTAAAAAATTTTTAAAAAGAAAAAAAATAAATCCCTGAGAGGGTTTATGTCACATACGAATGCTGCTATTTACTCAGAGGTAGAATTATAAGAAATTTTAATTTTCTTTATACTTTAATGTGCTTTCTAGATTTTATGCTATAAGCATAATTGCTTTTATAGTCAGGAAAAAAAAAAGCAAAATAAAATACATCCTATTACATCCTATTCGGGGTAATTTAAAAACCCTTTTCACACATTTCAAAATGCAGAATTACAAAGTCAATAACTTTTATTAACATAATGATATAAAAATTTTAGTATGATATACAGAATTCCCAGAGTAATTCTAAAACATTTTAATGCACTTCTTAAAATCTTAATTTACAAGACACCTTGTCTTACCACCACTGACCTTTCAATACAAAAAGCTGACAATTTTTGTTTGCTATAAAACTACAACATCAAGATTGGAGTTAGGTAGCTTTTTTTTTTTCTTTCCCTTCCCAGCCATTCTATTGTAAGGAATGTCCGTTAGACTACTGCCCAAACCTCTGTATGTCAACAATAAGTTACATAGATTCTGTACATAATTACAACAGGGTTATTAGAATTCCAGTATGTCACAACATACTTTACCACAGTCCACCATGGCGAAACAGGGCTACTATGCACAGTGCTATTTGTAGCCAGACAGGAGTAAAACATGAGAGCTGGCCCAGTTAGCCAGGTTTATGTGTGGAGAATTAATAACAGCTTTGTTAGGCACTGATCCAGACTAATTCTGGAAAAACCTGGTTGTTTCTGTGAAGCATGCATGATTCACAAAATTTTCCACCCTCAATACCCCAAAAACCGAACAATTTCATAACATACTCTTAATTAGCTATATAAAAATAATCTATATCTTAGATTCGTGCTTGACTTCAAATTCTTAGAAGTAACTAAAGGACTTTACATTCTCTGATTTAGGTTCTGTATAATTTTAGATCACTCAGCTTAGTCAAGTTTGAACAAAATAATAAAATGGTTTGGCCAAATTTTACAGGCACACAACTCAAAATGTGAAAGGCAGTGAAGAATGTAAACGTCTCCACCTTCAATACGGGGCAACGCTGTTCCCTGCTCCCCTCAACTGTACTGCTGGTACTCACCAAACAGCACCATGGATATGAAAACCTTAGACTTTACCACCAATGCTTCCAAATCTGCTGACTTGGAATAAAAATAATACATCAGTACACTTCCACAAGAAGAATTAATATTGTAGTGTTAGGAAAACTAGCAATTTAACTAAACAGCATCAAGTTACAAACCAGGGAAGTGATTTAAAACTAAATGCTGGCTTATGTTTCTGAAACAAAGCATCTAAACTTGGCAGTCCAAAATGGCACTTACTGAGTGTCCATGACAACAATATATGCTGACAAGCAGCACACCTTTGTTTTTTGTTTTTGTTTTTAAACGGCATCTCGCTCTGTCACCCAGGCTAGAATGCAGTGGCGAGAGGCATGATCTTGGTTCACTGCAAGCTCCGCCTCCCAGGTTCACACCATTCTCCTGCCTCAGCCTCCCGAGTAACTGGGACTACAGGCGCCGCCACCACATCTGGCTTTTTTTTTTTTTTTT